AAATCCAAAGCTTCTGCTCCAATGCTGTAGGTACAAGGAATCACAGATTACATTCAGAGAAGAGGACTTGGCAGAAGGCAACCTAGTCGTCCCTTCTATTATTTGGCATTTTAAAAGTTTCGGCTTGTTTATAGTTTTTCTTTCCATAAAAACAAAATTTACAGAGCACTTTCATGTTGGTTGAGTTATGTGGCTTTTTGGCAAGGCTGCGGGGGTTGGGGGGGGGGGCTTTGAAGTGAAGCAGTAAAAGCTGGAGTGTGCGGCCAGGGATGAAGCAGGATACTGAGGTCAGCGGTGATGCACTTGCCAGAAATAAACACACAGGTAAACGTGGTTTCACATGAAGCATAAAGAAGGAATTAGTTGGGAAACACGTTTCCAGTTAAAAACAGAAGTTCAGACCACCCTGGCTGCAGTGTTGGCACCGTCAACCAGCCAGAAACTCACCTCAACTGTATGCATAGCCATACACGAGGGAAAACAAATTTATCCACTTAAAAAGGCTAAACTAATAAAAACCTAATCCTGCTAAATTCCTGATATCTTAAGTTTATCTTTTCCACATTTACTTGCTGTCAGACAGACATTCTTTTACTGGAAACAGAGTTGTTTGCTCTTTAAAGTTTTCTGCTTCCAAGTCATGGAAAAAACATCAGCCAGTACCTGTACGCATATTCATAGTCAAACAACTCCTGTTGCTGGATACAACCTTTTAATTTGACTTCTTTTTATGTCCCACTAAATCAAATTCTCACAATTTCTACTGTAGCTGGTGACAGTGGGAATTCTCTTTGTTTTATCTTTAACAATTTCTAGCTCATAATTTAGCTGTTAGCAAGATCACTTTGGACAAAAACATTTAATGCACCCCACTCTTTTCTCTGTGTTCATAGTTAAAAGTTGTTTTATGTTTTTGTTTTGACATTTTCCACATCTGTGTCCTGCCCACGAGCCTTCAAATCTAGTTACAATTGGTAAACACGAAAATACAGTTTCCAAAGAAGGAGTATTGAGTGTTTTTATACGTGTTACTTTTGAGTCGAGGTTTTTTTTCCATCCGATCTCCTCCTGCCCTGTTCACATGACATTCTACAGCATTTCATTGCTCCATTTCTCCAAGACAAAGAGTGATCTTGCTATTTGGAGTATTTGCCACAATAAAACATCTGTCTAATAATATCATCAGAGGCATAAATGACTGCAGACAGCAACTGGGCTTGTTTCAGGCAACGTATAAAGCAGTGTCATACACGCACGCCCTGTATTTTTAGTGGGGTTGAGGCCGGGGACACCGTTTGTGTGGTCTTCTACATGCTACATGGAGGAAAATAACCAGAATCCAAGTTGACGAGACTAAGGTTTATACAAGATAAGACTCACAAATGTGTTTAAACTAATATTCAGATCCTGACATTCCATTAGTTCACTTCATTTTATAAACACAACAGGGAAACTGGCTTTATTTATGTTCTGTTAAATTCATATTGCTTTAAATAGAACACAAGTGTATGTTAGTGCTGGCATTGTAGAAGCAGGCAGGACAATTACAGCAGTGTGCAAAATATCAAAAACTTAAAGGAACAATGCATCACTTACAAGCAGGGCCTTCATTCTTTAATACATGAACGTTCTCCAATACATGGACTTCTTCAATACAGGAAACCACTCCAAGACACAGACTGACTGACCAGTACACAACACACAGACAACAGCACTGAACAATGAGCCCACTGAGGGAGAGCGGTATATACAGTATACCCAGGGCACCAGGTGACACCAGTGACCCTAATCACAGAGACACAGGTGCGTGTGATCACAGTGATTAACACCACACAGCAGACAGCCCTAACAGTGTGGGAGTGCAATTAGCTTTTAAACACTATAAAATAACTGACTTTGACTTTATATCATGGTTTCATTGTGCATTCTCATGCTTCGTCTTCATCAAGTATCGCGAGGTTAGAACAGTGCGATCTCGTTGAGGTCACTGCGTGATTTCCCTTCAACTGTCATGGCTGCCACCAGGAGGCTGCAGATATGTGCAGTGTCTCCGACAGGAAAACACACAGCGTCGGTAATCTTTCTGCATGGCTCAGGTGCTGTGGAATCACACACACAGTGCACACACACACGCGGCTTCTCTCTGTGTGTTTTCGCCCTCTTTATTCAGCTTTATCCAGGAGAAATGTATAAGTTCTGCCTCGCGTTGAGATCACAACATTGAAGCTCCCGACGCTTCATCTCAGAATATTGACGAATATTGATGAAGCAATTAAAAAAGAGACTTCTTCTTTAAGTTAAAACAAAGTTGATTAAAAACACAAAGTGAGGGCGTTTATTACACTTACTTTTCTTCTTTTAAAAGAAAAACAAGACTTTGATGCTTAATGTATATAGATTTTGGTGAACTTCCACATTCAGCCTTGGTTGATATATAACTAGGGCTGTCAAATAAGTTAAGAATAGGATAAATAAATGCACACACTGTGAGAAAAGGTTTTAGTTTCACAAAACACCTTGAGTTTATTACCATCTGAACACCCATCATGTGTTTGTGAAGGCAGGACGGTTAATTAATATTAGGCTGACAAGATGACTGATATAATGTTTGGGAACGAGGTATATTGTTGTATAATTTGACATAAAACTATTGTTTTAGAAATGAATTGTCTCAGTCATTAGAAACTAATTATGTTTAGTGTGGTCACATTCTGAGAAAATAGATGCTGAGGTTCAGATGACCCCTGTCCAAACCTTATTCACCAGTTGGTCAGCTGGAATCAGCCTCTGCTTTTTGACTTTTAAACTAAGTTTCCTGTCCCGGTTTAGGTGACACTGGACAAGGACTCAGAGCCTGGGTTCGAGAGGTTCTGGTGCCAGATCTGGCCTTCAACCAAATCAGAGTCATTTACCCAACAGCTCCAGCCAGGTTAAACATGATTAAAATATTTCAGCTTATTCTGTCCTTTTGGTTCTTAATTACATTGGATTTTACCGTTATAATAAGGATGAGCTACTATTATCACTAGTTTTAATAAAGATTTTCATGTAATAAACTAACCTAACTTTCACCTTGCTGTTAGGCCTTATACACCAATGAGAGGGGCTCCATCTACAGTCTGGTTTGACCGTCGCAGGATCTCACCAGACTCTCCAGAACACCTTGAGTCCATAGACTCCATGTGCTCCACTTTAGGGTCCATTATTACTGATGAGGTCCAGGCTGGGATTCCTAAAAACCGGATTCTCATTGGTATGAACTTTGTTGTTAATATTTGTTTCACAGTATGTGCTGTATTTGACTTCTTGTCAAATGCCAACCCCTCAGTGCATACTATACACAAAATCATATTTTAAAATATGAATTGGAGTGATTATGACATTTGCGGTCTTAGTTGATATTTATAAATGTAGCCTGTGATGTGGAATTAGAACATTAGAACTCAAACATTATTTTATAAAACTCGACTTTAAACTTGTTGCTAAAGGTGAAATTTTCCACCAAAGTTGAATTTGTATTTGAACTTGAATTACAAGGGTGGCCCCAGTGGATACTTTACTGGGCTAACACTTAGCCGTCGCTCCTCTAAAAACTAGAACAAAGTGAGAATCCCGTTCCTCAGGTTGTCTCTGTCAGCCTCATGTCTCTGCTTTCCTCACTGACTCCCATCACACTGGATACTTTTTCTTCTCTCTTTTCTGTCTCTACCAACACACACACACACTCACCTCAGTCCATCTGAGTCTGGCTGTTCCTTACTCCCTCTGTCATGATATAAAGTGAGGAATGCATCTCATCAGGTTACTGTGTCCTTTCATCTCCAGCCAAGAGGGAACAGAAAAGGCTTTTCAGGAGAAATTCTTAAGTCCAGAAAAGCTTTCCTGCCCGAAATATTCCGCTTATCAAGTTCACATATAAATAACAATGAAATGAAACCACTCAGATCAAGTGCGATTAACATTATGGCTGATTCAAGGTAAAAGTTCCCACAGGAAACAAATAGAGAGCCACTGAGTGTTTTAATGTGTGCAAGACATGGCTGCACATGAAAGGGGAAACCACAGAGAGCAGTGGGAAAAGGGTTAACCTCCAAGTTCTGAAAAGTATAATTATTAAGCCACTCTGTGTGTGTGTGTGTG